TGATACACCTCTAGCCATCTGACTTTTTTGATCACCTGTCAGTTGATGTAGTACCCACTTGAAAAATTTTTCCCTTCCCTTTCATACTGGGTCCTAAGAAACTCACCACTGAAACTCCTAAGTCTGCTAAAAGAACTGAAACTTCTTGTGGGTTAGCTTCTGCTAGCTCTTAATTGATCTTAGTCTAAAATAAATTTGGGTCTCCATTGATGTTTATTTGTAAAAATAATTTTCTTATTTAAAAAATTGAGATACAGTTCACATATCATAAAATTCACCCCTGGGTGGGAACGGTGGCTCATGCCTGTATACAATCTCAGCACTTTGGGAGGCCGAGGCAGTAGGGTTGCTTGAGGCCAGGGGTTTGAGACAGCCTGGGCAACATAGTGAGATCCTGTCTCTACAAAAAATTTAAAAATTAGCTGGGTGTGGTGGTGGGTGCCTGTAGTCCTAGCTACTGAGGCAGAGGCAGAAGAATCACATGAGCCCAGGAGTTGGATGTTGCAGTGAGCTGTGATTGCACCACTGTACTCCACCCTGGGCAATAGAGTGACACCCTGTCTCAAAAAAAAAATCACCCTTTTGAAGTACAATTTAGCTAGTTTTTAGTGCATTCACAAAGTTGGGTAGCCATCCTCACTATCTAATTCCAGAACCATTTTCATCATTTCCAAATGAAACCACTTATTAAGCTCAATGTTTATTCAGTACCTGAAGTGAAATTTTCTGAACCATCACCAAATAACCCTTTTGTCAACAGAGCCCTTTCTGAAGGCCAAATTACTGTTTCCACCTGCCGTGGAAACAGTTTAAATTCATGTAAAAAAGTATTCTCAATTTTACCATATTTTTATTTCTATGGCCAAAAAAATAAAATAAAATAAAACAACTCAAGAGGCCAGGTGCAGTGGCTCCCACTTGTAATCCCAGTACTTTGGGAGGCTGAAGCTGGATGATTGCTTGAACCCAGGAGTTCAAGACCAGCCTGAGTAACATAGTAAGATCCCATTTCTACAAAAAATAAGAAAAATTAGCTGGGTATGGTGGCTTGTACTGGTAGTCCCAGCTACTTGGGAGGCTGAGGTGGGAGAATGCTTGAGCCCAGGAGTTTTGTTTTTTTTTTTTTTTTTTTGAGACAGAGTCTTGCTCTGTTACCTGGGCTAGAGTGCTGTGGCATCATCATAGCTCACAGCAACCTCAAACTCCTGGGCTCAAGTGATCCTTCTGCCTCAGCCTCCTGCGTAGCTGGAACTACAGGCATGCGCCACCATGCCCGGCTAACTTTTTCTATATATTTTTAGTTGTCTGGCTAATTTCTTTCTATTTTTAGTAGAGACCTCGAGTGATCCACCCACCTCAGCCTCCCAGAGTGCTAGGATTACAGGCATGAGCCACCGTGCCCGGCTGAGCCCAGGAGTTTGAGTGAGTTATGATTGTGCCACTGCACTCCAGCCTGGTGATAGAGAAAGACCCCATCTGAAAAAAAACCCCAATAATTAGAGAAATTGAAGATGACAGTTCATCATAAGTTTAAATAGCACAATCAAGAATATACTTTATGTCAGTTTCATTTATATTTAATTTAATTTTCAACTGATCAAATATTAGCTATTTTATATTATTTAACCTAATTGAATAGTGGAATCAGTTTGACCTGTCTTTGAATCTTGGCTCCTGCACTTATTAGCTGTATTGTTTAACTATTCTGTTGCTTTGTTTGCTTATTTATATAATAGGGCTAATAGTTCTACCTGATGGGGTTCTTATGAAAGTTAGAGGAGTTAATGTTTATAAACCACTTAGTGAAATACCTAGCACATAGTAGGTGCTCAAAGAAAGGTACCTTTATTAGTACCAGGTCATATATGTATATATACACATACACATATATATATACACACACACATACTTGTTTATGAGAGAGAAAAATTTGAGCTAGCCAGGTGCAGTGGCACATGCCTATAGTCCCAGCTATTTGGGATGCTGAGGCAGGAGTATCTCTTGAGCTGAGGATTTGAGGCCAGCCTGGAGAGCATAGCAAGAGCCTGTCTAAAAAAGGAAAAAGGGAAAAAGAAAGAAAAATTTTGGCTACATGTTATTTTGGTTTTTATATAGTTGCACCCAAAGAGAGTTAATTGATATATTTCTAGCATGAGGTCACTAGTAGTCTTCCTTAGGACTCTGCTCTTGACCCTGCTGGTTAACATTTTTATCTTTAAATAAATGGATTTTGGGCTTAAATAAAAATACAGAAGACATGGCCAGGCACGGTGGTTCACACCTACAATCCTAGCACTCTGGGAGGCTGAGGCCGGAGGATCGCTCGAGGTCAGGAATTCAAGACCAGCCTGAGCAAGAGCAAGACCCCGCCTCTACTAAAAAATACAAAGAAACCCTCATAATATGCTGAAATAAAAAAAAAAATACAAAGAAATTATCTGGACAACTAAAAATAAATAGAAAAAATTAGCCGGGCATGGTGGCGCGTGCCTGTAGTCCCAGCTACTCGGGAGCCTGAGGCAGAAGGATTGCTTGAGCCCAGGA